TCTTAGTGGGACGAACCGAAAAGGTAAAATGAGACAATCATAGCGGGACGGAGGGAGTAATAACATCCGTCTAAAGAAATCTCAATTTCAATTGGCATACTTGTTAAAAATGCGGGACAAGAATAAAATGAAAATGTATGATTATGATAATGTAAGAAAAATGTAAATGAGTGTTAGTCACAGAAATCACTCCATAAAAAGAAGTGTGATTTTTTTTTAGGCATCTCAAAATGGTCAATGAGAAATTTTTCGTTTGTATGAAAATAGTACTAGTATCTTTTAATAGTTAAATGCATAATTTGTACGTATCTCAGATTTTACTATTTTTCTAATATTAACTGTAGTTACTTAAAAATATACTACATATAAGTTTAACGTTTAAATTTTAAGGAGATGCTTTTTAGGTTAATTCGCAAAGAGGGATCTGTATTCATCATTCAAATAGCCCAATACAAAGCTCTAAAGTTCTACTGGTGGAATACGCATATGCGGAGTATATAACTAGAGAAGAAGAAGAAGGTTCAAATCCTCTACATTAAAATCAAGCCATCTGCCTCACAAGCTATAAATAGCAACAATAATGGGGAATGAATGCTACACTAAATGTTCTAAAAAAAAATGTTAGTTAACCCTTCAAATGGTGAATTTGGGGTGTTTATAGTTCAAAGAAGGGTCTATCAGTATACCTCTTGTCTTGTATCCTTGGGTATTGGGCAACCGGTGGGTTAAGGAATTAACGTGAGGGTAGAGTAGAACTATTGAGAAATTAGAGGAAAGAATAAGACTTGGGATACAATTGAAGTATAATATGCAAGCCCATGATTGTATGACATGTGTTCTTTGGATGTCTTGGGATTACACTGATGACTTCAAGTGTGCACTAGTCTCATGTAGGCATGATGTCAGTCCTGGGATCATATCCAATGATGTCTGCGTACGCGGCTGTGATGTAACCATTCATGTGCATGTGTGGAATGACCGAGAAATGACTAAGTATTTATGGAAGTTGTTTTAATCGAGGCGGATCAAGTCTGCTCGACCTCGACTAAGGAAATAATGGTGGAGATTATCTCGCTTGGCGTCGGTGATTCATTTCGACCATGATGGAATTGGCCCCCTGATGCAACGTCGGGAACGAACTACAAACCCCGGCCTCGGCTGGGAGCTTCAGCCTTGGTGGTAGGGACTGTTGGGCTACCTCTCAAGACCGTCTTCTATGGGCTTCTGGGATATGTTGGGATATGTCATAATCTCTCCCTCTTGCTAAGATCGTCCCATTTTTCCTATTCGGGAAATGTCATTAAGATTATTTTTACTTTATCAATTCAATATTAACCTAAACTCATTTTTCTTAATAACTGTGTCACTCCCTCTTATCCATATGTTAGTTAGACAGGTGTAGTAATATATAGCCATAATATAATCAAGATTTTAGATTTTGAGATGGTGCGGTTATGGCTTTGTTCCATATTTGTGCAATCGGACACATTGAGCCCATATAAGCCACTTAGAACATACTAGTTAACCAGATCCTACGATAGGGCCGTCTAATCAACTTAGAGACCTCAGTTTCAATTGCGAAATTGAGGCCCCACATATGAATACAAGTAAAATCACATATAATTACAAACTCACATAGCTCAATAAAATTAATTGTGTTCAAGTGTTCATATAGAAAAAAAACATGATTTGAAATAACTACACATTACTATAATATAATATAATATAACTTTATTATAATACTAATACCACAAAAATTTGGGGCCCTCAATTTGGTGGACCCTGTTGCAGAGGACCTTTTGAACCTGTCAAAAAACGGCCTTACCTTGGAACTTGGGAGGATGTCCTAGCCGTTAGCCACCCACCGCGACCAAGTTAGGGACCTAGGGTTGTTCTTTCCATCCGTCCAAGTTAGGGACCAAGATGACAAAGTTTTAAAGGACAGAGGTAGTATTAAAAAATGTGAGAGTTCTTTCTCCGTCACCGTTCTAATATGAATACGGAGTATTATTTATTGCATATGGCTCTTTAAACATGAATACAAGTCTCGTGAAACGTACTCGTAAAAGACACTAAGCTAGACTACTAGTTAGAGCATCTCCAATGCTAAAATGTGCATGATACACATGTGGCATGAGAGGTAACCATATAAATATTAACAAATGTATTGTCTCTCTCCTTATTTGAATGATTTTATACAATTTCAGCAAGTTTTTCTCCACAATGTTGAGAAAATCATCTAGAAGTTAACATTGTGATTGACAATGTAGAGAAAAACTTACCAAAATTGTATAGAATCATTCAAATAAGGAGAGAGATAATACATTTGCTAATATTTATGTGGTTATCTTTCATGACACATATGTATCGTACACATTGTCGTATTGGCTCTTAGCAGACGTTTTCACTTTGGCATTTAAATAAATGAACCTTTTTATAATGTCAGTAAAATTTGAATGGTAAGACTAGGGGTGGGATCGGTCCGGTTTGGGTCGGGTTTTTGCTAAACTTGGAAATTACTCGGAAGGTCTCGGGTAATGAAAATTAGGGACCGGAACAAAGCCCATTATATTTGGTCCGAGTCGGGTTTTTGGTAGCCCGGGTTCGGGTTGGACCAGTTAAAGCCCGGACGTGAAATATGTCATTGTTCTTTTATATTTTAACACTTATTTTCAAATAAAATTAATAAAAAATACAAAACGCAAGTAATAACACAAATATTAGTCTCCAAAATCACCAACAATTCAAATTTAAAGAAGATAATTATCTTAATATTTTATGTAAGATGTATATATTGATGATAAAAAAAATGTAAGATGTATATATATAAATAATATAGGTTTCTTAAAAATATTACGAAATAAATTTTATAAATAAAAAAGTTACTAGAGTTGCTATAAATATATTCTCATGGTTAGCATTACGCTAAACAAATTCAACATATTTGTAGTCACTAAAAGTTACTAAATCTTTTTTATCCACCGTGATTATAATCATATATTAGGAAACATTTTATTTATATTCATATACTATATTAATTTTATATTAAAACTAATTGTTTCGAGTTTTTTTCGGTCTGGGCCGGGTTACAGATTTTAAGGCCCGTTAATGGGCCCGGAATTTTCGGTTCGGTCCGGGTTTTGTTTTTAATTCGGGCCAGTTAAAAAGAAAAAAACCCGGACCGAGATCATAATTCGGGTCGGTCCAGGGTCGGTTTCCGGGTTTCGGTTCGGTTTTTCTCATCCCTAGGTAAGAGTGTAAGACTATCCATTGTATACCATGTTTGAGCTAACATCCCAATGCTTGAAATAACTACTTCGTTTGAACTACCTCGCACTTTCTAATTTTATACTACGTTTATATATATATATATATATATATATATATATATATATATATATATATATATATATATATATAGAAAAGATCAGGTCCCTCCGGAGGGACGGGAGGGACCGTCTGAACTTTACTGTTTGGGGCGGTTCTGCGCATATATAAAGTGCAGTAAGTTTCAAGAATTTATTTGACTGCCTTCCCGGTCGAATTTTGAGTTAAATTTGGTATGGACAAACTAGACTTAATGAGGAACATGCTCAAAAATTTTCGTCGAAAAATTCCACCGGGAACCGCCCCAAACAGTGAAGTTCGGACGGCTGCTCCCGTCCCTCCGGAGGGACCTGAGCATTTCTGTGTGTGTATATATATATATATATAGAAATACTGAAATATAATATCCCATTTCATGAGACCGTATGTATGTCCGTATTCATTAAAAACTCTTCCATATATCTGCTCAACTGTTTTTTAATTGAGTCAACGTCATATGAGGGGATGAGCATGAGGTCCATTTACATCATGTCGAAAGTGCTAATGACTCCACCATTTTCAATACACATTCATGATAAATCAAATCAATAGTTTGTGAAATACGAAGTATCTCCTCAACCATTCCTCTGTGATTTTAAAACTAAACGAAGTGTGTTGCACACAAAACCCACTTTATAAATGCCAAGTACTTAAGAATCCAATGAAGGAGGGCAGTGAGATAAGTACTCACAAGTTACAAATTAAAGGCCCCTTTTGTAAATAACATCTTCTCTAGCTATTAAGTTTTGCTTAATGAGGTGTGAGAGAAAGTAGGTTTACTAATGATTTGTTTTAGAGTGTGTTTCCGTTATGAAAAGTCTTTTGAAACTCTATAAACAGTCATTTTTCTATTAAACAATGTTGTTTCCCGTTTCGCTATGCAAGAATTAAAAAAGAAAGTGATCAGCACAATGAGGAGTGGAACACTTAACCTGATTAACTTCTCTAATTTCTACAGACACGGTTAATTCATACAATTCCAATAACATGGAGTATGAGTAGGTGTTATAGTTATTAAGGAAGTTGATTTATGTAGTTAATATTGAATAAATAAAGTATAAATAAAATAAAAATGATTTAGAAATATACACATTTTATCAAATTTGGTACGATGAAATCTTAGTGAAATGGGCTTAAACGATGGTACCGCCGAATTGAAGCAAGTGAAAGCCTTCGAATTGTAGCTTGTACTTGTACCTCAATTATATTATAAATCAGCCCCTACCAAATGTGGGGTTTAAAAATCACCCCATAATCTACACTTACATTTGTATTGGCTAAATGTCCCATCTTATGTATCTGCTTTAATTGTGATATGCAATCTTAGGCTGAGATAAACCACACATTTTAGTGATCAAGACATTCCAAAAGAAAAGGATACGTACATACCTTAGTTACCATACATCCCACATAGGAAACACTGAACCCCTTGGCCTCATTGGCTGTTAATTTGTTGTCACACTTACAGACATACATGGGGGATTGACATTGTGCGGTATGAATTCCAAGTTTGATCTATTATATATTCTACTCTCCAAACATAAAATTAAATGTCAAGATCCTTATTTGAAAGGGAGTTATCTCTGTAATTCAACTGTACTTAGAATTGATAAATCTTAATGTACTTATGTGTCTGAATGCTTCATCTGTCTTACAAAACTTTACAAACTATCTTATTTAACTGTCCCAAAAAAAATTACAACTTCCATTAAAAGCAATTAACATGTGGGTAACATTATTCCTTTCTGCTCTAAATCCATTACACAATTTTTATTCTACTATTTTATGTTCAAGTCAACTTTGATCCCGTTTTATAGGACATGAGCGGTATTATTCAAGTCCGAACTTATCTAATCTATTTGAGTTTGTCTGATGTATTTAAGTATTATCTAACTCAGTTTAAATTCATGTAAGACCATGTGATTTTTCTTTTTGAAACATATAAAAACTAAACTATTGATGATGATTGATGATTAGTACTACCTGAATTAGCTTTCACATGCAACTGTGCACGTGGATTAAGAAAACGAGAATTGTGTCATGAAGAGTTGTATAGAGAATAGATGAATATGTAAGAAATGTCATAAATCATAAATTCTTTAATAGATAAAATTATGTTAAAACGAAGGAGAAGGAAAGTTGGCATATGAAGTGCTACCAAATTCAGTGGGCGTATGACCTTATTTGAGAGTGGGACCCACTAAAGCAAAGCGTGTCCACTCGTTAGAATTGTAAGAGTATATAAAATCTAAGCTAGCTTCATGCAACCTTCTCATACACACAATCACACCAACACCACAAATAAGAACTCAAACATATCCTCAACAGCCCAAACCCAAGCCTTATTCTTACCATCTCCATGAAACAAAAACGTTTGACCACTGCCACTCGTTATGATCATCATCAAGAAGAACCCCCCAGCAAAGTTAGGGCAACTGCTTACCACTGGGGCAACAGTTATGACAGCCAATCCCATATGGAGGCTTCCCTCCTAAAGGGCACGGCGGCAGAAGGAGGAGGAGGAGGGTGTGATGAGCTGGAGGAAGGCGGCCTCCTCCTACGGGAGCCGCCGCTCGCGGAGGAGGATACCGGAAGGGAGCGGCTGCAGAGGCATATTCATGAGGTGGCCGGGCACGTGTGGATCCCGGAGATGTGGGGCCAGGAGGAGTTTCTCAAGGATTGGATCGACTCTTGCACTTTTGATGCTTCCTGGGTGAATGCCAATATCATCTTAGCTCGTACGGCTTTGGCGGAGACGGCGCGGAGAACGCCGCCGCCGCCGCCTCATCCCACTCCGGCCAGATTAAGAATAGACAGCACTTGCTTTCCTATTCCGTGATTATTATTACTACTACGTACTAGTACTACATATTGTCCCCAGCTCAAATAAACTTCAACCGTTTGAATTTTATTACGGGTTTTCCGATACATAGTGTACAATATTCATTCTTTTTTAAATGCAAAAAATAAACGTGTAATAAAGCAAAAGTTTAGTCAATACGGAGCATAAAACAATATAATTTGTGAAAATTTGATAAAAAGGCAACAACTTTATCCAAATGTCTAGTCATGAAATTTAACGTAATAAGCCCATAGATCTGATGTTTTTCTGCATATACTAGTATCAAATTTCAATAGCTTCCAGCAAACCCTAATGCTTTAGGATAAATGAACTTAGATATATTTAATATCGGGAGCAAATATTGGGTGAACGATTTAATAAAGGCCAGGTACACGAACGATGTGGGTTAACCTGGGTGATTATAGTAAAACGTCGTTTACATAAAAAAAAAAAAATTCTAGTTGACATACCAATATATTTATAAAAAGAACATAACTTTTTGAACACCTTAGGGCCTGTTCCGCATCAATGCCGTTTCACCGTTTCCGTTTTTTCTTTCAAAATAAAAAACAAAACTCGTTCGGTAGAAAAAGATTCCGCTTCCAAATATTAGAAAAGCAAGAACTGTTTTAAAGAACGAAATCGCTATTTGAGAAACGAGGAAAGATGGTTTCCAAAAATTAAAGCCCACTTTCTCATCTGTGATCTGTCTCTTATTCTTCTCCCACAATATTTCCCTCTACAATAAACTCCACTGAAGCTACGTATCTCAGTATCTGCCTCCATATTACCGGTTTTGTCTTTCTTCATTTTGTATAATAATCTTTGTACTTTTTCATAAGATGGAGTTTTGATACTGCGATGTTGAGTATTTGCTTCCACCCTCAAATACTCTTGAAGTGCCCATGCACCATGATTTTTGTGATATTTGTGAAGTACCAGAGTTTTTGGATGTGGTAATCAAGTTTAGATTCATTTTGTTGGCTTCGATTTTCAAAACAGTTTTTAGAAAAGTGAAAATAAAAAACTGAGAACAGTTTTTTGTTTTCTAAAACCCAAAAACAATAAACTCACAATCATACAGAACGGGCCCTTATTTAAAAGTTCTCAGCTTTCTGAATTATTGAAGGTTCTTGAGGATCTTAGTATCTTACTAATAAATTTACTCTTCACAAGCAGGGGTTGCATTATACATAGGGCTGTAGCCCGTAGGTAGTTTTAATAAGAACATTTATGTGTTTACAACTCCAAAAATAGGAAAATGTTTTTTTATTACTCTGTAGTTTGTAATATTCATTTTATTTCTTACTCCGTATAGGGAACATGGGTGGAGTTCTTATATTCCCGTCAAGGTGTCAAAATATGGTTATTTATAAGAAAAAACAGGAAGCCATTTTTTCCTTGCAGATATGTCACCAAGGAAAGTAACTTATGCACGACCCTTTTCTATACTTGTACTGGTCGAGGTAGTAGAGTCAAAAATAAAGTATTTGGTATAAAACAAAAAATAGCGTCTGAGAAAAGTGGACAAAGTAAGCCAATACTTTAAAACCAATGAAGAGAGCCTCTGCGAACATAACATCTCTACATAAAGCATCAGGTTATAATGAAGTTACAATGGTAGGTTGTTATCATCCAGACTGAGGAACCAATTCCCATATTTTGATTGTCTCATCATCGCTTGCTGAAGCAAGTAGCCTTTTATCCTGTCAGGTTTGGACAAGCAAATGCACAGTTTAAAAGGTCTGCCACCATCCAACTCCAACTTACGACAAGCAAAATGTTTTCTAGTATGATGCAAGATTTTGCTATTCATCTGATGCAAATTGTTAAAATCACTGAAGGATTAAAAGTTTTTTTTTTGTTTTAATCCTTTGCTAATGTAGTTGTAGAAATTCAAGTCCTTTGTGGTTAATCATTTGCAAATAAATCACCCCTGAGCCTACATCTGTAACTCCTAGTGGTAGTTATTCTCCTCAAATAACAGCCCCATGGACTAAAATAGCTAGAATTGATATACCAAAACTGTCACTAAATCTAGAACAAGGGAAAAGACTTGGGAGAGTTCACAGGGAAGAAAGACCAAAGTAATAGTTTACGCAAGAACTATTAAGTGCCCAGAATGATGCCTTCAACATTTTTTTTAGAGTGATGCCTTCAACATTTTCAGAAATCAGAACTAGAGGCATATACAGAATGATGCCTTCAGAATGAGACCTAGAAGTTGAAAACTCAGCAATGATAGTGCAAGAGTTCAGCCTCCAGAATGTAATTCAATATTGGTAAGCAAACTCTCAGACACCCAAGTGTAAATTTTAATCCACGTATTTTGTAAATTTATTATGGCTGCTCACTTTATATTTGAAAATAACACATTTTTCCATGTTCAGCGCATTTTTATTATCTAGATTAGATTGCCCATTTAAATATATGGAATACTCATTTTGGTGTATTTTAATAGATCCTATTAGAAACTGAAGAGAGAGTTATTCAGATAGAATGGAAATCAATCAATCTTATTCAAAGAGAGAAGATTAGAAGGATATTTATACAGTAGCTGTAACCGAATACAGTTGTACAGTTTGACTAGTCAACAATAGGTCTAACTGACTCTATTAGTTTAACTATACAAGTATATTCCTAATATTCCCCCCTCAAAACTGAGGTTGCTTGTGTAGGCAGATCAGCTACACTCAGTTTGGATCTGAGTTCAACAAATCTTGAACTTGATAGAGGCTTAGTAAGCACATCTGCTATCTGAAAACGAGCTGGAATATGAAGGACTTCCAGTTGTTTCAATTGAACCTTCTCTCTGACAAAGTACAAGTCAAGTTCCATATGCTTAATACGACTGTGTAGAACAGGATTATGAGCCAAATGTACTGTACTGAGATTATCACAATATACTCTGGGCACATAGTATGGAACTTGAACTTCTTTGAGTAAAGATTGAACCCAAAGAATCTCTGCTGTTGTGTCCGCAAGGCTTCTATACTCTGCTTCTGCTGAAGACCTAGCAACACAAATTTGCTTCCTAGACCACCATGAAATGAGATTAGGTCCAAGAAAGAGACAAGAGCCAGAGGTTGACCTTCTGTCAGTGAGGTCTGATGCCCAATCAGCATCACAGAATCCAGTTAAAGCTAAAGGTGAGTTTGAGGCTGCAGGTTTGATTGTAAGACCATGCTTTAATGTACCAGATAAGTATCTGAGGATTCTTTTGACTGCCTGCCAGTGTTCATGAAGAGGTTGTGCCATAAACTGACACACTTTATTAACAGCAAAGCTGATTTCAGGTCTGGTTAAAGTGGCATATTGTAGTGCCCCAACTATAGACCTGTAAAAAGTAGGATCTTCTACCAGTTTGGTTCCTTCATTTGTTAGCTTGGAAGAACTAACCATAGGAGTTGGCAGCCCTTTGGAGTCACTCATACCAGCTCTGTGTAGTAAATCTTTGATGTATTTGGTTTGAGACAAATGAAGACAACCATTAGACTGAAAATTTGCCTCAATTCCCAAGAAGAAATCAATGTTTCCCAGATCTTTTAGAGCAAATGAAGAATTCATCCTGTGAATGAGATTCTGAATAGCAGAAGAGTGATTTCCAATAACTAGAATATCATCAACATAGATGAGAACATAGATTCTGATGGAGTCTTGAAGAAAGATAAGAAGAGAAAGATCACATTTTGACTGTTTAAATCCAACACTGTATAAAGCAGATGTGAGTTTCAAAAACCAAGCCCTGGGAGCTTGTTTTAGGCCATATAGAGCCTTATGGAGTTTGCAGACTAATGAGGTGTCTGAATTTGTGAATCCAGGTGGTTGGACCATGTAAACATCTTCTTCAAGATCACCATTCAAAAACGCATTGTTCACATCAAGTTGTTTAATAGGCCAGTTGTGTGTAATGGCAACAGTAAGCAGAATTCGGATAGTAACTGGTTTTACAACTGGGGAGAAAGTTTCACCAAAATCAAAACCATACCTTTGGTGAAAACCCTTAGCAACAAGTCTGGCTTTTAGTTTCTGAACAGATCCATTAGGATTTTGTTTGGTTCTAAATACCCATTTGCAGCCAATGGGTTGTTTATCAGGTGGAAGTGACACAAGAGACCAAGTATGATTGGATAGGAGTGCTTGATACTCAGATTTCATGGCCTCATACCATGCTGGATCAGTGAGGGCCTGCTTAACAGTCTTTGGCTCAGAATGGGCAATGAGCAAGGTTGGATTAAGTCTGGGCTTAACAATTCCGGATTTGGCTCTTGTTGTCATGGTATGCACATTAGTAGGAGGAACAAGAGAGGTAACAGGAGGAGAGGGAGATGTTGAAGAAGAATCATGAACAGAATGAGAAGATTTGGAAGAATTGGTGTGTATAGAATTAGAAGTTATATGTTCAGAGGAGGTAGGATGTGTTGAGTTAGGGACAGTATGTTCAGATGATGGAGTGTCAGTGTGGGGAGGTTGAGATGATGAAGATGAATCATGGACAAAATCAGGGGTTTTGGAAGAATTAGAGTGTATAGATTTTGAAGTGGTGTGTTCAGATGATGATGTATTGGCGTTAGATGTTTGAGAATTATGAGGGATTGCAGAATATATGGGTAGATGAAAAGAAAGAGGAGTGGATAAGGATGATGATGCAGCAGATGAGGGAAAAAGTTTTGAATAAGGGAATGCACATTCATTAAAGATAACATCACGAGAGATGTAGACCTTGCCTGAAGAAGAAAGACATTTGTACCCTTTGTGTTGGGGTGAATAACCAAGAAAAATACATTCTTCAGAATGATAGGCAAACTTATGCCTGTTGTATGGTCTGATGAATGGAAAGCAAGAGCATCCAAAGACTCTAAAAAAGGAGTAGTCTGGATCAGATTTGTACAATTTGGTGTAAGGGACAGAATGAGATATGGAAGAAGAAGGAGTTCTATTAATGAGATGAACTGAGGTAGCAAAGGCTGCATCCCAAAACTTGAAGGGTAAAGATGAATGAGCAAGTAAGGTCAAACCTTTTTCTACAATTGTGCGATGTTTGCGTTCAACAACACCATTTTGATGGTGAGTATGTGGACAGGCTAGTCTGTGAGTAACCCCTTTGTCAGTGAGAAATTTAGTAAATGGTCTGAACTCCCCTCCCCAGTCAGATTGGACAGATTTGATTTGGAGAGAAAACTGGGTATTGACATATTCATAGAAATTCTGGAA